AATTATTTATTAATTATATTTTCTTATATATTATTAATTATGTTGGTAAAAAAATATATTATTAACAATTTTATTCTTTCAAATTAAAATATATTATAAAATCTATCTTCTATGTAATTATCATATTTGTATGCCTTTTTTAGTAATTTGTACATATGAAAAGTGCTTCTGACAACAACTATCCAAACATTCTCATTTTATCAGAATCATTTTTTTAGAAAATATATTTTTCTCAGAATCTATTCTTCAGAAGCTATTGATTAAACAAATAGAGAGAAGTCAGAAGGAAAATTTGGATTTGCTACGAGGATAACGTGAAAATTACTTACGTGGCATGCCATCTTATCATCTCTCCCGTCCTTTCTTCCACATCACCCTCCTCCTCCTCCTCCTCCTCCTTTTTTTTCCCAGTGTCAAACTGCTGAAAAAACGTTAAGAAAAAATATTTCGTCCGTACAAATTAGTTAAGGGAAAACCATATTGGAGGTACCTGTATTTTTTTTAATTTTCAATTTGGTACCTATGTGTTTTTTGTTCTTAACTAAATCTTTAATTTTGCTCAATTAACATCATTAATCCTTATGTAGAGATTAAAAATGCCAATAGAATAAAGTTATAAGAGCTAATGTTGCTAAAAAAAAATTGAATGTTTAATTAAGAGGAAAAAACACATGGGTATCAAATTAAAAATTGAGAAAAAATAGAGGTACCTATGACATGATTTTCCCTTATCCAAATACTATATTAAGTCATTAATATAAAAGCTAATTTGACTTTTAATTTGATTTTAAATATAAAACCTTAATTCATTTTGTCTCTAGCATATTTGTTCTTTTTTTATAATTGTCTTTGTAGTTATTGTACATGTTAAATATTTAATCAAATGACATTTGATTTGTAAGATTTTAAATAAAATAACATTTATTTACTACAAATAACTAACTTAAAATATTCTTAATCTACTCAAATTAGTCAATTAGTTCTTATATTAAGTACTAGAGGTAATAGTTATCTACTACCCTCTTTAATTTGTGCATTGAATGTATCTTTTAGATGGAACCTTTTACACCCAATAGAAATATTTTGGAAAACAATTATAAATCTGAGAGATAAAATGATGGTCTTATATTTAAAACTAAATCTAATTTTCAACTAGATATTATACTGCTTTTGGTTTTTAGTATAAGACATAGTTGACTATTGATAATATTAATAAAGTTACTAAATTACATAATTATAACATACGTCACATGATTTGTCTAATTATGTATATCATTAAATTATATATCAATTTATATGTGAGGTAAATTAGTTTAAAAAAGTAATAAATATAATATAAATATAACTTTCTTAATTACTCCTCCGGTCCTTAATATAAGATCCAATTCTTGAGTTGATTTTGGTCCTAAATATAAGACTCATTTCTCACATTTATCAATTTTTTCTAAATTACCCTATGGATACTCCTTCAACATAATCAAGTAGAAGAGGGATATGGGTATTAAGAAAGATGATTATGGTGTTTTAGGAAAAATGTGTCACTTTTCTTATAATTAACTAACTGATCTAACTTCTTTAATCTAATAACATTGGTTAAATATTTCTTATATTAAGTATTAGAGGAGTAATATTTACCAATTAGTTAATTGTATTTTATATTAAGTATCATGATGGTATTAACTAATGGTAAAACTATTATTCAGTCTTCCCTACCCCGGAGATTGGTGAGAACGGCGGCGAATTCGGATCATCCTTATGACCGAAGCTGGAACTGCTGGAAAAGTTCGCATTTGCTTAATTACTTTTCAGCGCAAGTTGCGGCCCATTCTCCAGCCGACTTCTATCAGTCCAAACGACTTTCCCTCGGAACCTTTTTGCTGAATCTGCCAATAATCAATTGGCCTCACGAAAAGTCAATTTTACAATGCAGCAAACGTGGAAACTAACACGCCTTCGCGTAATTTCAGCTCTGGCTTCTAGATTTCATTTCATCCTAGTCAACCCTGGCAAACAAAATCATCACCAGAGGGAAAATTTGGGTTAACTGTTTGTCATTTTTCCAGCAGCAGCAGCAGCATATCATTCTTATGCATGGACAAGGTTTCCTGCAACTTGTCATCTATAAGACTACTTTCCATCTTTAGTATGAAAGTTAGTTGACTAATTTAAGTAAATTAAATAAGTTTGCTGAGTTAGTTATTTTTAATAATTAGGTGTTGTTTTCTCCAAAATATCCTTACTAATCATATATTAGTTAAAATTATCATTTGATTGAACTTTTAATATGTGTAACTATTATAAGGATTACTTTGAAAAAATAACTAAATAAAATAGACAAAGTGAATTAGAGTCTTATATTTAAGACCAAATTGAAAGTCAAACTATTTCTTATATTAAAGATCAGAGATAGTACTAAGCAACCAATATCCTGAAGTATTCAGTGCTAATTATAGTGATGAGCATCATGATGCTTATTAAGTCTCAACCATTTAAGTTTAATATAAACAGTCGAAATTTAATATTTAACATTTTTGTTTTTTTAAAAATATTTTTCTTTTGAATGGTTTGGATTTTATTAATACTTATCACTTCCATGATTACTGAAACCCGTTCCATTAATTACCTAGCGACTAGTTTATAAGCCTGATTTGACATAGCTCACACACATGATATATCATTATCTCGCCCAAGTAAGAAAAAAGATAAAATGATCACATGATGACAAACTTTCCACCATGGGCAGTGACAGTGAATGTACATATTAATGAAACGGCGGGGCTAGTGTCACATCCTGCAATCAATCTCTAGAAGAATTTGAAACTCAACACCATGCCAGGTGAGGAACGTCATGACTTACACAATATAGATGTACAGAAATAGCTTATCAGCAGATTCTAGAAGGATTTGAAAATAGTTGTACATTGTGATCCATGACGCACTACAAAAAAAACCTAATTACTGACAGAATTAGTGACGGAATAATTTTCGTCGCTAACTTCTGACGGATTACCCACCAAAATTCTGTTGCTAAACTTAGCCATGGAGCTAGTGACAGAATTTAATCCGTCGCTAATTAACCACGGAACTTTTCCCGTCAGAAAATTCCGTGGCTAAAATTTTATACTTTAAATTAGCCATGGAATTTTTTCCGTCAGAAAATTTCGTGGCTAATTTTGTGGCTAAAGTTTTATAATTACGATTTGTGACGGAATACTTTTCTGTGGCTAATTTAGCCATAGAATTAGCGACGGAAAATTATTTCGTCACTAATTTTTGTGGCTAATTCCGTGTCTAATATATAATATAATAAATATATAATTAAATTATATATGTTATAAATATTAAATAAAAGAATTAAATTTAAAAAATATATTTATGAAAAAATTATTTACTATTTAAAATTCAAAATTAATGTCATTGGAAATTAATATTATATTTAAAATAATTTTTTTAAAAATAAAGCATTATAAAATAAATAGTAAAACAAATATCTAAAAATTATTTTGTTACAAAAATAGTTAATTGATTAAAATTATCATATAGTTTACTTTTAGTTTCTAATAATATATATGTGTATAAATAATTATTTGTGTAAGAGAATATTATATATATTTAATTTTGCATAATAAGTCAGTAAATTCATTGCAGCTCAACTGGTGAAGTTGCACGCGTGCACGAGCGAGGTCCTTGGTTCGAGCCGTGGAGAAGTCACTTTGAAGAAAAATTATATGGTGGCGACATGTGGCAATACAAGGTGGCATGTGCGATAGCAACACGTGGCGGTAGACTTGAGGTGGCAGGGACACCTGGAGATGAGGCCGTGACATGTGGCAGCGGAGCTGAGGTGACAGCGACATGTGGAGATGAGGTGGCAACGACACGTGGCGGAGAAGGTGAGGTGGCACTAACACGTGGCGAAGGAGGTGAGGTGGCAGCGACACGTGGAGATGAGGTGGTGACAAGTGGCGGCCAAGGTGAGGTGGCATTTTAATTTTTTTAAAAAAAAATATATTAGCGACGGAATTGAAATTACGTCAATAATTAGAGACGGAAAAATTCTGTCAGTAATTACCGACAGAATTGATTCCCTCGCTAATTCCGTCGGTAATCCAATTAGTGATGAAAACATTAGCGACGGAACCAATTCCGTCACTAATTCTGTCGGTAATTTGATTTCGTCGCTAAATAAAAATTCCGTCGGTAAATTTCATCGCTAATAAGATGTTTTTTGATAGTGATGAGGGGAAAACCCAAAAAAAAGGAAAAGAATTTTATCAGACGTTACGTTGGTGCCCCAACTTTGAAGATAAGACGATGAAGAACTTTCAAAGAATTAACTAAGAGTGCTAGCAATGTTATAATCCAACTATGATAACATTCACCCTTCAGCCATCAAAATGGACTTCAACTGCAACCCCAAGTATTATTTTCTTTATGCACCGAGACTTTTCCCCATTTTGGTGGGATCTGGAAGCTCCAATTTGAATTTCTCTTAGTATTAATGTATTTTTTTTAATTTTACTTTTTATTGTTTATTTACTCCTGTTTGTCATACTCTCTTTTATCAAATTTTTTCACATATTTTTTTATTTATTATAAGAATATATTTAAAAATAAAAATATATTTCTAGTCTATTTATTATTTTAAACTAATTTTAATTAATTAATTATTTTTGTAAATGAGTTATAGAAATAAAAAAAGTGACTTTTTTGAAAGAATTACAATAAGATCCTAATAAAAAAAATTATAAAATAAGTTATAAAGATTGTTATTTTTTATATTAAAACTTGTCATTATAAACTGTTTATGACGTTATTAGAATTTTTTAATAATTATTTTAGTTTTATAGCACTAGATTGTAATTCTCCTTTTTTTTCTTTTCTCCCAAACAAATTTAGTTGACCTCCGTCGACCTCCATCACCGATCTCATCCCCTGCCACTACAACATCGTCTTCCTCATGATTCTCCCCTTCTAGCCACTGAGATACACATCATAAGCACTGCACAAACTACTTGACGTCCATGGCCATCGGTTCCCTCAAAATTGTCTCGCTCTTGCTTATTAGCCTCCTCTTTTCTCCTACAAATGAAGCACATGTTACTTATCTTCACCACAATTGCTCTCCCAACATAACCTTCGCTGCCAACAGTGCTTTTCAATCGGACCGAACGACGCTCTTCTCTTCCCCAGCTTTCGTCAACACCGACTTCTACAACGCCACCGTTGTCGGTGGCGGCGACACCGTCCACGGCCTCTTCATGTGTCGGGGTGACGTCAACCTCGCGATGTGCCACCAGTGCGTCGTTCACGCAACCCAACGATTATCTTCGGAGTGCCGAGTTTCGAAGGAGGCAATAATCTGGTACGACGAGTGCTTGCTTCGCTATTCTAACCGTTTCTTCTTCTCCACCATTGACACGAGGCCTAGACTCAGCCTCTTTGACGCCGGAAGTGTCTCAAACCAGGCAAGCTTCATGAGAACATTGTACGATACAATGAACAGGACGGCAGATGAGGCGGCTAAACCAGCTGTTGGGAAAAAGAAGTATGCGACCGGAGCAGCGAATTTCTCATCGTTTCAAACTGTGTATTGTCTAGCACAGTGCACACCGGACCTTTCGCCGTCAGATTGCAGAAGTTGCCTGAGTGGTGTGATTGGGGAACTTAAGTGGTGTTGTAGTGGGAAGCAAGGAGGAAGAGTGCTGTACCCGAGCTGTAATGTCCGCTATGAGTTGCACCCTTTCTATCAGTCGGAAGCTGCAGGTGTTCCTCCTACAAATAGTACCGGTTCCCAAGGTAAAGCTCTCCCCTCGGTGATTTGGGTATTAGTTTGCGAAAATTGAGAGTTTAAAAGCAAAATCGTGGGGGAAAACCCACTGAACAGAGAGTGAAATAAAAGCAGGGGAGGGTTCAAAATTGTGGAGAAAGAGCTAAGTGGACTAGAAGAACAAATACGAGAAAAGATTGACTGAGGAACATGAATGATGTAAATTTGGTTGCTCAATTATTGCCGTGAATTTACCATATCAAATATACTTGCTTTCTCTGTTCTTGGGATGATCCAGGAAAAGGTGGAATCTCATCGGGGGCGATTGTTGCGATTGTGGTTCCAACTTCTGTGGCTGTCCTGATATTTATAGTCGGCATCTGTTGCCTGAGTAAACGAGCAATGGAGAAGTACGACTCTGATGCCAAAGGTAAATGTAAGGATGTCCATAGCATCAGCATACCAGACCTTTTGCTTTGTGTGGTTCATATTTGCTCGCCCTCCTATTTTCACTTCATCTCATCATGCACACGCACCATTTGGTTGTGTAGCTGCAATTGACATCGGCAAAGTGGATTCACTGCAATATGATTTCAGTACAATTGAAGCAGCCACGAACAAGTTCTCTGCAGATAACAAGCTTGGTGAAGGCGGATTTGGACCGGTTTACAAGGTATCAAGTTTGTGTGCTTTCTTGGTTGTTAACGTGAAGGAAGTTAGGCCACTCCATATATGCATGTGAACTTTATGTTTGAAATTCAGGGGACGCTTGCAAATGGACTAGAAATTGCTGTGAAGAGACTCTCCCGAGAATCTGGACAAGTTGTACAAGAATTTAAGAATGAAGTAGAGGTGGTTGCGAAGTTACAGCACAGAAATTTGGTGAGGCTGCTGGGATTTTGTGTGCAAGGGCAAGAAAATATTCTTGTTTATGAATATTTTCCCAACAAAAGTCTTGATCACATTCTTTTCGGTAGGTTCCTCATGTTTGAGACTAAAATGGAGGAAGTTCTGATTCACCTCTTTTCGCTTGAGTAGTTTACTTTACTTTTATTTGACAATTTGTTTTTTTTTTTTCCTTTTAATATGTAGAACCTGAAAAGCAAAAACAGCTAGATTGGACAAAGCGGTACAAGATTGTCAAAGGAATTGCTCAAGGCATTAAATACCTTCATGAAGATTCAAGACTTAAAATTATACATCGTGATCTTAAAACTAGTAATATATTATTGGACAGTGACATGAATTTAAAAATATCAGATTTTGGTTTGGCAAGGATTTTTATGGTGGACCAAACTCATGAAACCATTAACATTGCTGGAACACTGTAAGAACAAATTTACATATCCTTGCAAAATCTCTTTGGCATGTTACTGGTTTTGAGTCCTAACAATATTATCCAGATATCCTGGCATCTTCTCTTTAACAGAAAGAAATGCCAACAGTCCAGATTTCTGCCTAATTTTCCTGCACTAACAATTATCTTCTGATGATTCAATGTTTTAGTGGATATATATCTCCGGAATACGCCATGCATGGACAGCTTTCTGTTAAGTCTGATGTGTTCAGCTTTGGTGTCCTTTTAATGGAGATTATAAGTGGGAGGAGGAATAGTCCTTCCTATCAAATGGAGGGTGGTGAGGACCTGGACCTGCTTATCTATGTGAGTATATCAAACACTATTCTTTCTAGTGTGATTCAAATGAATCATTTGCTTTCTGTCAAAAGGATAAACACTGATCCCAATATAACAAATAGCTGACAACATTTTGATACAGGCCTGGAAACTTTGGAAGGATGGAGAACCCTTGGAACTGTTGGACCCCACAATAAGAGAATCTTATGCTCCAGATGAAGTTATGAGATGCATCCACATTGGTTTGCTGTGCGTTCAAAGTGATCCAGCAGAGAGGCCTTCAATGTCATCCATAGTTCTGATGCTTGAAAATTATCCTATGACTCTGCCAACCCCTTCGCTGCCTGCATATTTTGTGCAAAATGGAGCTTCTCGAAACATTCTTGGTCAATCCACGCCCAACACACTACCAATGTCAGTCAACGAGATGTCGGTTAGTGATGAATGCGTCGGTAAGCTTGAAAGTTGGAGGTTTTAATGCACACGTGCCTCTGTCTAAGTGGTCGGTCTATTCAGGCAACGTTTTATTTATAGCCACGATGTCTGCAGATGAATTCTTTTGTTCCTCCTGTAATATTTTGAGTTGAATCCGCAAAGTGTCACTTTTGCATTGTAGCAGATTTGGAAGTTGGAAAGTGCAGTGACATGCCATCCATCATCCCACTGCCACCTCCCACTCTCTGTGCAACATGGATCTTATCTCTTCAAGTAACTCCGGCCGCCGCTTGGTGTCGACTTATGTCAGTCCCCGCGGCTAGCCGAACTACCTCATCTACATCCGACTCCACAACTGGTCTCCTTGAACCCTTATCCCATGCCATTTTGAGAAGGCGCATAGTTCTGCCGTCAGGCTGCTGTCACCGGCGCCATGGTGAGAGAGGAAACCTCCAATGAACGTGCCGTCCTCTCGCCTAAGAGCTCCGCCACACCCAACTCCCAAAGAAGGCGTGAAAGCCCCATCGAAGTTTAGCTTAGTCCACCCAAGTTGCTGCCTCTACCACTGCGCTTCAGTGTCTCTGACCCCATGTCCATTCAACCTCGTAAGCTTTCTTGCATCCCCCATGCATGCGCTAGATCTCACCGTTTTCTTCAACTCCCATTCCTACCAGTATACTCATTAATTAGATATTATGACCATAGTTACGAAATTGCAATCTTATGATTGGGATGGGAAGTAGAGGGAAGTAGGGGAGTCAGTTTTACAATGCTGCAGTGCCTTCTCATATTTTCAGCTCTAGCCTAGCTAGTTTCCATCTGGGGCTCGTCAACATTACAAACAAAATTACAAATTAAAAATCATCAGAAGGAAAATTTGAAAAACAATTAAAAAACTCAAGCTAAAATGTTAAAATAAATTTTAAATAGAGAAAAAGTGGATATCTAATTACAATCTGTATTATATGTAGGCTAATTTAGAAATTATAGGATAAAAATTATACAAATTTTGTAATAAAAAGAATGTCATACGCCCACACGCACTTGTCAATATCATATCAACAGCGATGATCAGTTTTTTTTTTTTTTCCAAATGAAATATAAGATCATGGATAGAGACATGCAAAGAAAGACAAAACCAAAGCATCGGATATGGTGCTTTGGGTTTCCGGTAATCTGAAGCAGAAACCCAAATTCGGAAGTCACCGGAAGAGGGGTACGTTGGTAGAGGTGAATGCTGTTCAACTTGGCTTCATATTATTTCACATTGGTAGAGGAGATAGCTATCACGCTGAGGCATGGGGGAATTCTCTGGGATTTGGAGATTGCAACGAACTTGGGTTTCTGGCTATGCAGACGGAATCGGACTGTCTGGAAGTTGTGGAGGGTATTGGTAGTCCTGGGCAAGGAGGAGGGCCCATAAGAGGACGGGATAGGCAGCGGCTTGAACAGAGAACGGGAACTGCTCCTCGTCTGGTGTGGGCGTGAGGCGAACAAGGTGGCGGACAGGGGTTTGTCTGTTCTTGTCACACTGCAGAGTGTATTCGGCAAGTTTTGAGCTAGGCTTGTAATCTTAAAAATTTACTATCTCTTTATTTTGTCTAAATTAAATTATAAAAACCTCACTTTTATTTAAATAAATGTATATAAATCTTTCTTAAAATTAAAATATGTGTAACACAAATTTTTTTTATATGATTAAGATTCCATTTCCATGCATCCAATCATTAATAGAGACTTTTAAATTTTTTTTAACCAAAATATCCCTCCTTAATATAAATATTATTTAAATATTTATATCTATTAGAAAAGTTATTTTTAACACAACAAAAATTAATTATAGTACATGCACTTTCAAACTTTTTAATATGTTCTAAAATTTATAATTTTGATCATATCATCGAATATATAATTTTAATGGATAGAAAATATTTTAGATGCTTATTTTTTTGTCAGATAATATAAATTATGTAGGTTTGGGACATTATATAAATTATTTAAATTTAAAATTTAAAATTTTTAAACGAAACGTTAGTTTCAAACAGTTATAAGTTATTTGATCAATTATTTTATTTAAATAATTAATTAATTTTTCATTCAATTTTTTATGTTTACATCAATAAATTACTTAATTTTCTGTTCTAATATGATAAAACTATTAAAAATAACTATTTATAAGAAATAAAAAAAATTAAAACAAAGAAAAAATTCTTAAATTTCGTCTAAATAATATTATGAAGAGTAAATAAATAAAAAAAGTATTTCAACATAAATGTTAACTAAAAAAAAAAAGAGCATCTTTTTGGGTTTTCGAAATAAAAAGAAAATTCATATAATTAAAAATAAAATATAAAAAAGATTAGAGTATTTTATTCCCAAAAAAAAAAAAAAGCTGTCCTCCTTCGATTTCCAAACACGGCAGATGTAAACGCGTAGACTAATTCTGCTTATGGAGCTTCTTGTTATCGTCTTCTTCCCAAAAAAGGGGAGATATCGGAACCATCCATGAGTCCCTTCCCAATTGCTTATTGAGCTTCTCAATGATCAGTCAGAACTGCAACTGAACTTGCCATAGAAATATCCATGCACAATAACAATCGATCAGAAGCCACCAACACAGTCTTCACCCTTGCTTACCATGTCGTCTATGGTTACGCCTTCCTCCAAAACTTTCTTCCTCTTGTTTATTCGCTTCCTGTTTTCTCCTACAACTGAAGCACAGGTTACTTATCTTCACCACAACTGCTCTTCCCACAAAACCTTCGCTGCCAATAGTGACTACCAATCCGACCGCACCACACTCCTCTCTTCCTTTTCTTCCAAAAACACCCCCAACACCGACTTCCACCATGCCACCGTTGTCGGTGGAGGCGACACCGTCTATACCCTCTTCATGTGCCGAGGTGACGTCAACCTCTCGATGTGCCACCACTGCCTTGTCAAAGAGCCAAGTGGACTACAAGAAAAGGATAACTAAATAATTTGTAATACCCAGACCGATAATTTGTAATAAAATAACTGAATAACATTGATGAAGCATACTTGGTTAGTCAATTATTGTCATGAATTTACTTATTAAGTATATTTGCTTTCTCTGTTTTTGGGATGACGCAGGAAAAGGTGGAATCTCATCGGGTACTATTATTGCCGTTGTGGTTCTAATCTCTGTGGCTGTCCTGACATTTATAGTTGGCACGTGTTGCCTGAGTAAAAGAATGACGAAGAAGCATGACCCTGTTTCCGAAGGAAAATGTAAGGATCCTCATAGTATATATAGCAGACCTTTCGTTTTGTTTGGCACATGTTTGCTCTTCTATTTTCACTTCATCTCATCATCATACCCACGCCCCATTTGGTTGTGTAGCTGCGATTGACATCAGCAATGTGGATTCACTGCACTATGATTTCAGTACAATTGAAGCAGCCGCGAACGAGTTTTCTGCAGATAACAGGCTTGGTCGAGGCGGATCTGTAGAGGTTTACAAGGTATCAAGTTTGTGTGCTTTCTTGGCTTTTAACATGAAGGAAATTTGGCTACTCCTTGCTTGTTCGAAATTCAGGGCACGCTTGCGAATGGACAAGAAATTGCTGTGACGAGACTCTATAGAAGCTCGGGAGATGGTGTAGAAGCATTAAGACTGAAGTAGAGGTGCTTGCCAGGCTACAACATAGAAATTTAGTGAGACTTCTGGGTTTCTGCGTACATGGAGAAGAGAGGATACTTGTTTATGAATATACGCCCAACAAAGGTCTTGATTCCATTCTTTTTGGTATATTAGTTTTGCATAGTTCACACTTATACTTGTTTCTGGATTTTCGTCATTTTACTTTTCTTTTATGTGACATATCTTAAAATTGTTTTTGAACTGGTAGACCCTGAAATGCAAAGACAGCTAGACGGGACACATCGTTGCAAGATTGTCAAAGGAATTGCGCAAGGCATTCAATATCTTCATGAAGATGCAGCACTTAAGATTATACGTCGTGATCTTAAAACTAACAATATATTATTAGATGATTGTAAGAATCCAAAAATTACAGACTTTGGTTTGGCAGCAATTCTTTCAATTGATCGAACTCAAGGAAATACCGATTGCGTTTGCGGGACACTGTAAGAACAAATTTACATATCCCCCATTCTTCTTCAAATATATTGGCATTTTCTCTTAAATGAAGAAGGAACTGCCGCGAGCCAAGATTTATGAGTCATTTTCCCTGAACTAACCTTTCTTTTTTTATGTGCACGGTGCCTTGTTCATTGTTCAGTGGTTATATATGTCCAGAGTACTGAATAAAAAGAGAGTTTTCAAGTAAGTCTGATGTATACAGTTTTGGTGTCCTTCTCTTGGAGATTATAAGTGGGAAGAGGTTTGACAAGGGGGATGGTGGAAGCCTTTTGAACTATGTAAGCATATCAAACACTACTCTTTCTGGTTTGATTCAAACGAATCATTAGCTTTCTGTGAAAGGACAAATAATTGACAACAATATGATACAGGCGTGGAAACTTTGGGAGGATGGAGAGCCCTTGGAACTGTTGGACCCCACAATAAGAGAATCTTATGCTGCAGATGAAGTTATGAGATGCATCCACATTGGTCTGCTGTGTGTTCAAGATGATCCAGCAGATAGGCCTTCAATGTCATCCATAGTTCTGATGCTTGAAAGTTGTCCTATGACTCTGCCAACCCCTTCGCGGTCTGCATGTTGGGTGCAAAGTGGAGCTCATCGAAACATTCTTGGTCAAACCACGGCCAACACACTGCCAATGTCAATTTCAGGGGTTATATGTCGGTTAGTGAAGTAATGCCTCGGTAAGCTTGAAAGTTGGAGGTTTTTAATGCACATGTGCCTCTGTCTAAGTGGTTGGTCTATTCGTCTGCAGAGGAATTCTTATGTTCCTTCTGTAATATTTTGAGTTGAGTCCACTAATAATAACTGCCTTGCAAAGTGTCACTTTTGCATTGTACCAGATTTTGGAAGCTGGGAGTGGGGAGTGCAGTGACATGCCATCCAACATAGTCTGATTTATTGATTAAACAAACGCAGAAATATCAGAAGGTAAATTTGGATTTGTTACGAGGATAAGGTGAAAGTTTACCCGAAAGTATACAGTGAGGAACTAAAGGCATCCAGAAATTTTTGAAGTT